CGCGATGTTAACCCTGAAAACCGCCCCTCTTTGTGTCAATCTAGAAAACTAAACAATAAACTGTATTGACTGTGTAGGTTAATAAGAAGGTCGGCTCCGAGCGATAGAGAAATTTTATGAACTGTCATTCTGGTACCACCCTCACAACCCTTAGTCGTGTCGCTATTACTCTGTTATTTTTGTGCTCGCAAATTTCTCCTCTTTTAAGAGGTATTGTATTATATCTTTTCACACGTTGTTAATTTTAACTACATGATTTTTAAACAATTTCTTGATCGTAATGTGAAACGATGGTTTATCTTTCGTTCTTCCTCGCTCGTGGTTGCAGCAATTGCAAAACTGGAGGTTTCGATTCTTTCGGAAGATATTCGCGAGTAATTCTCGAGTATCCGACTCTGAATCTTGTCAAAGTCCTTCCTGTTGATGTTGTAGGTAAGCATTTGTTGGTAAAAGTGTTCCATATCCTGCTCCATTCTTCTTTTTCAGTGATGTGGATCGACTTGAGAAGATCTTCGAGAGGGATTGAGTCGTTGGATCCCATAGTCAGGGTGCCAGATAAAAATTAAATTCCTTAGATTATATAATTTGTATAATTTCATGTTTCTTTCTTGCACGTATGCCTTCTATTGCAGTCATCGAATCTATGCAGATGGCAAATCGTTGGAGATTATTTGTTTGTATGAAGCGTAGTGATCCAAGGATCGCATACGCTTCGACCATGAATACAGATGATGGATTGGATAGGCGTCGTTTAACAGTCTCGTTGTCAGTGATGATTGCTATTCCTGTTCCTTGATTAGTTCCAAATCTATCAACGTAGATTTCGTTGTAATTTCTGTAATTGTTTTCTATTTGCAAGTTTTCCGATTTCTCGAATCACTCGCCAAGCCGGTGTTTGCGTTTGAAGTTTTAATGGGTTCGGGGTATTATAATTTTTCCTCGTCGATAAATTTTAATTTCTTAATGCATTCACGTTTGATAGAATAAAGACGTATTACTACGATTATTAATTCAGGGCCGTGTTAATGCAATGTTGGACGAACGAAAGAGCCGCAATTCGCCGCGAATAAAATATAATTAAGTCGAAATTTCGGTCCCGGTGAATTGCACGCCAGCAGACGACACTCGACGATAATGGCGCGAGTAAACCGGTAATAACATGGCCGAGATTTGGCGCGGCAAATTATCCACGATGGAAATTATCGGTTACGTAACGCAGAAACCACGGATTTCGAGCCCGAACTAACCAAAAAAGGAGAAAATGTCGCGCGAACGGTTCTAAGCCACGGTCTTCGGCCAAAAATGTCCGTTTTAAACGATCGTTCCTCTGGATTTTTCGTCCATGTTTTTTTTTAGGCTTTCTATATTATTTTTTTAATTAATTTCAAGATTTTATGTGATTTGAGTAAGTTGCATAAATTATTGATTACACTGGAAGAAGTATCTTTGTTCGTGTACAATATTTATTGGAAAATATATTAATTCGCATAAAATAACTGCGTAGATACTCTTTGCTAAACTTAAAATAACATATGTTATTTAGTTTATTATGAGACAAGGAATTCCGCTTGTTACGTTGGAAAATTATATATTCGAACAGATGTTGTACAACATGTTCCAGTCGACGTGAAGTTGCTCTGTATGGTCCAATAAATACTCATCTAATACCACATTATCGTTGGTACCTAATAAAGGAATAAATAATTATGACGGAAACACACGCGAAAAATGACATTTCGGTTTCCGGTACCGTGCAACACAGATATCATAACTCTATTAGATAGAAAACTGAATGTATCGGATTAATAAATTTTGCAAATTAACAACGGCGCTCCAAAGTTTTGGATCACACTGTCGTTAATACGATGCATTTGTATCACGAAAACATCGAACAGATATAAACTGTAAATTCATTCCCGTAGATATCAGCCGGTACCGCATAATTAATAGAATTAATAAAGACATCTGATAGTTTTACAAGCCATAAAGATTGTTCCAATTCCAAGGAAGCATAATTCAAGAATATCATTACGACTTAACAGCCGTATATTCCACATTTTGTAACATTTATATTTATCGTGCAGCCACGCCTTGTATCTCCCGAAATTTTTTCCGTATAAATGTCGACATTCCTCCATAAAATTCTCGTATCTTCCCATTTCAGGCACCGATTTCAAAATAACAGTCGTTTGGTTCCAGCAACGATTCATTCGTCACCCAACGAGTCCAAATATATAGGCTTAAATTAGAATAGAGGATATTGTGTTGAAAAGCTGTTGCGCCTTTTCTTTTCTAAACGGTCAGGACGAGTGCCCGTGCACAGCAGTTTGTTTAAAAATGTTTAAGCGCAGAGGTACAAACAGACCAAAACGAACAGCAGCGGGAAATGTGTTAGCGTTAGGACTATAAGTCATCGGTGCTGTTTATAATATCGCGAGTTGAACTCGGAACGAATATGAATTTTTTTTAAAAACGCAGCAATATTTCATTCTCCGCATGCACTAAACACCGCGAGTTACGGTCAATAAACAAACGAGCATCCTCTGCAACAGAATTCCATCGCTAATACCTGGACCATTACAAGTTACGATTAATGATTTATGATCGTGCCGCGATCGCAGATAAAACTAACTGGCAGTCTCAGATGAACGAAGCGACAAGCCGTAAAATTTCAAGTACTTCGAATCGTACAACGTTATTTTATATGTATATCATCGTACGGTCATCAAGCTCGGGGGAAAAAAAAATGTTCGTCGGAAATTTATAAAACATTGTCGTTTCCGCGATACCGCTGCTAAAAATAAACGATCGACGTGTTATGTATCGTTGCCAATTAAGTTTGATTCACACCGCGCGCACACCAGTAGCGAATAAATAGACATCGGATAGACAAAGTACCATGTAACGTGTTTCCAATTAAACTATTGACGCTCAGCGTCAACAACAGGGTCATTATCGTACATTACGAACTTTTTCCGCCGATGATGACCGACGAACCAACACCAATTTCTCATCAGTATTCTCTCGTTATCTTCTATTCACTCGTTTCATTGCTACTTATCGCAACAGCGACGCACAGAAGCCGAATAATTTTACTGACCAACGTAGCTTCCAAACGACTCGTCCATCGGAATTTATTTCGAAACATCCAGCATGCCCGCGATATCTATCACGACTGCGACCGTCCTCGAATGTTTGTCAAATGCTCCAAATCTACGTAATTACGTTCGAACAAAGAGATCGCTACGGAATTTTAATGTGAAATTTTAAACGTCGAAGAATATTCCGGGCGAAGCTGAACCGAGTAATTGCTCACTTTCTCCAGCGTCTTTCCACTAATAGCGCAAGAAGTCGACTATTCAAGAACTGGCTACTACGCTTTTCGCTATGGACAGGTGTCAATCGTCGATTTTACAATTTTCCCTGAAAATTCTACACAATTACGTATCGCGTATCCAATAAGTTTCAGCCTTGTAGCGCGATAAAAAGAATACTTGGCACGTGGCTCGACAAACGTGACGAAATAATTGCATAATACCAGAAAAAGGTATACAAGTTTTTCCAACAATGTCGGCTGCAGGTATATTTACTTTGATTCGGTGCATCAATTTTAAACCTCGAAGAGAAAACTCTTTCACTCCTAAGGGGGCATTCTACCGTCGATTTCTTAAATTTTCTCGAAGAACAATTATGTTCGTTCATATTTGTCAGTTTGCGAAAATGGTAGAACAGAAGTACACGCTTGTTTCGTGACAAATTTATTGTATTTCTCCCCCATTCTCTGTACTATATGCTCTAAAAATGTTGAACCATGCACAACGTCTTTACGAAAAGTTCTAAGCTTCGAATCTTAGAAAGTTAAATGAATTTGGAAGCTGAGATTCGAAGGTAGGAGTCTTTTCTAGCTTCATGGAGGACGCACCAAGAGGATGACTGGACGAAATCCTATCTCGGGATTACGATAGCTACTATCGCGGAATAATTCATAATTGGACGGAACGCACGATTATCGCGGCCGAATGAATCAATTACGTCGCTACGAGGGGAAGAGCCGGTTGTTTTGCTTACCCGGAGGCCCGGAGGAGCCTCGTGGGTGATAAGTTGATAGCGTGGACCATAACGTTACAAAACCGTCGTTACGAAATCTTTGCGTAACGTCTTTACTACGGCAGACCCCGGCTCTTATTTACCAACTCTGGACATAATTATTGCACGCGTTCTTCGTTTTAACCGCCACGGAATCGTGATCCCACGGTATTGCTCGCGACGACGCTGTTTACATCGCCCACCGAATCGATAGCTTTCGAGAACCGTGGAAACCGGTTGCCCCGTTGCGGACCGAGAAAACTATGGCACCCGGCGCGGGCTTTATTAACTCCCGCTGAAAATGACGAGCCAGTTAGACTTGATGTTTTGATCGACGCCGTGTCGCTGGAACGGCCGGCTGCCCCCTTTTTCTAGCTCCTCGTTAAAACGGGCAATTACGGACTTCCAACTGCAAACGAATTTATCGCGGCTTCGAGGAATTCTCTCCCCCCCTCCACCCCCTTTAGAAAATCCTTCGATAGCGTGTGTGTGTGTGTCTTTCCTCCTGCGACTTTCTTCGAATCGACCGAAGAAATCACGCCCGGGAGAAAGCGCGAGAACAAACTACCGTTTTTCAGCCATCGCGATACGCTACCGATGCCTATTCGACGCAAATAGTTCGCTTCTAAACGCGAATCATTAGTGCACACTTGGCTGATAACTACAATAAGATCTATCCGAATCACCGAGGAAGGATTCCGGATTCCGGACTCCGAGTACCGTTAAGACGGTTTTCTCTCGGGCCCAAGGCCCAAAGAACGTGTTCATCGAGCGAACCTAACGACTCTAACTCGCAGGAAACATAGGTACCCCGAGAGATACGATCGCCCGTAGGACCAATTCCCCGCAGGGCGTCCGAAAAGTCTCCGGGGCCCGAAATTGTGGGCCTCGCGAGAATAAAGATGCGTACGTACCTCCGGGAAATCTGTGAGGGAAGATCCGTCCGTGCCTGGATAACAGCCAGGGGTACAGCGGGTAACTGTCTCTGGGCGGCTGATGAGGATGAGGCGGCGGATGGGGTCCACCGGGTGCGCCGCCGTGAGGGTAGGGCCCGTGAGGTGGTCCATGGGGCGACGCGCCGTGATGGGCCTGGAGGGCCACGGCGAGATTCGCCGCTTGGAAGTGCTGAGCCGCGGCCAAATTCGCGGCCAGTGCCAACTGTTGTGTGTGATACTCGTTCTGGCCGGTCTGGGGCCCGGTGGGACCGTGCCCGGGCAGCCCGTAGAGGGACTTGAGCTGTTCGGCGGCGACTGCGGCGGCGGTCGCCGCGCCGGGTGGCGGTGCGAGATAATTGGGACTCGGTCTGACGACCCCGGGCGGCGGCTGGGGATGACCGCCGACGGGAGAGTCGCCGTGGGATATCCTGTGCGGCGGACTGGGACTGTTGTTGGGCGTGGATCCTCCGCTGTGGCTGTGCACGGTCGTCCGACCAAAGTCCAAGTGGGTAGCGGCCGACAGGTGATGATGATGACCGTGATGGTTGGCGTGATGGTGGTGTAGGCTGCCGGGGTGCGACGGCGTCCTCCGCGAGTTCGGGTACGACTCGACGGACGAGCTTCGCGACACGGGTCTGTCGGAACCCTCGGAATGGGCGCCGGGCGACCTCGCGGTGACCCGACGACTGCGGGGCGACGAGGACCCTTCCACGTCCATGGGACTCCCATCGTCCCTCTCGATCTCGACGCGTTCCAGCCGGTCCAGTCGGTCCTCGCGACCCTGTCCACCGCCACCGACGATCGAGTCGATGCTGAAGCCGATCTTCGGCTTCGAGGGCACCGGAACGATTGGCGTCGGCGCGAGCGGCATCATCGTACGATTATCGTACGCTCGTCTGACGGATTTCCCACTACGGCAGAACGGACGGGCTACGGGCGGCTCGATCGAGTCAGGTCCGCCGCATCCCTGCGACCACCTGGACGCCGGCTGCTCCCAACGACCGAGACTTCCGGTCACCCTGACCTCCGCGCGCCGTTTATCTCTCGCGAACACTCTCGAACTCACTCTCGAACACACTGATAACTCCTGTTCGGGGGGTATTCTCTCGCGGTCGACTCTGTCGTTCCACGGAACCAGCTCTCTCTCGACGACCTTCGCTACCGGTTTACCGAAATACCACCATGTCCCGAGGACCTCACCACGTATCGTGTACGTTATCTTGCTCACTGATTCAGTTTACGTCACCACGATCACCGGTACTCATCGTTCGCGACCACCTACAATGTCACCGAGGGATCACCCAGTCCACGATGATCCCCGAGCATCCGACAAATGTCACCCACACGTACCGCGAACCGGTGGCGCACAGTCAACCGAGTCTCGCGTCACGCACGGCGATTACGCGATCGCGCCTCTCCATCGGAGCCCCCGTCAAACGTGCCTGATCAAAAACGGAACGGAATCTGGACCCCAATGACCGTTTGCGCGCACTCGAGACTCCAGCAGGCAGAGCTCCGCGGCTCTGACGGATGTTTCTGGCACGAGAGCTTGCTGGTGTTTGAGCAAATTACAGGCTAAACGAGGCGCTCTTGGACGGTGGTGGGGGTGTTCCAGAGTTGGCTTCCATCCCCACCGATCGTGCTGTCGGCAAACGGTGGGGGCAAAAATCGACCAAATGTAGGCGGTCCGTGACGATACGAACGGCGACGCTAGGCGTGCACAAAACGCGCTCCGATTGGTCGGTTCGACGAGGTAGAAACTCTCGGGGTCGGAGCCGACCTCTCTGCTCCGATTCCACGAGGTAACGTAGAAGCTGCAGTGGGGCGACGCATTAGTCGGCGATGGGCGTTAAACTCACGTTTTTGTCGTGCGATGAAAATGAGTCGTTTAATTAATACGTCTGGACCCCCTGCCCCTCAGCACCGCTACCCACCCCCTCTCATGGTCTCTCCGTCCGTTCCACGGTCGCGCGACGCCTCTTCTCGCCTCGTTTCTTCGTTCCTCGCGCGCCTTTCTTTTTCTCCTTGATGCCTCCGGATGGAGGGGGAGGGGGGAACGAAAGACGGAGGGAAAAGTGTCCGTTCGTGATGTTTCTCTCCGCGACTTTGTGTACTCCTCGCCCGGGGGGGATAAAAGTCCCCGGGGGCAGGGGGTAGGGGGCGAGGAGAACCACCGCGAGGAGGTCAGAAGAGTCTGCAACGTTGTTAAACGCGTCCCGAGCGCCGTGAATCAGCCTTCTTCCTTCGCGAAATCCGTTTTGGAGCACTCGCTACTCCAAATTTTTTAACCCTTTCGCTCCGAAAAACGTATCGACACACTGTATTTTGATTCGTCGCAAAGTCTGTTCGCGTAATGTTTTCACCGGCGTTTATGAATTTAAATTTCTCTTTTACGCGCCAAAATTTGAACGCGAACGCGGAGGACAATTACGAGCGTGTTAATCGTCCGCTGAACGGTCTCCGATTACCAAATAGTTGATTAGGAACATAACTGGCTTAGCAGATTGTTCGAACGATTAACGCTAAGCGGACGTAGCAGTACGAAATGCATACAGACTTGAGTTCATTAGAGCGAAGTGGAGAAATATGCCTACAGTTTGTTGGTTCCTTGCCGTGGCCGATAAACGCTGGCGGTGTTCGATTAACGACTTTCATTTGTTTCGACAGCATTCTATTAAATCACTGTCGAATCGGTTCCATAAAAGTTTCAGCGGTATAACCGACGCGAAAGATAAGAGCGGTTAAAATTATTTTCCACGAGCCTCGTTATGTATGACCGTAATGATAGTTTCAATCGAGGCGAGGCGAACTATCGTTCGCGACCTATCTTTTGACGCCTATGGTGGACAGACAATTTTATTCGAGCAACGGACGATAAATACAAACACGATACAGTAACATATTTGCAATGTTTATTCGATCGATCTGTCATTCGTGCAAGCTTTTTATTCGCGCAACGTAAAATATAATTTCGTTTTATAAAATTGCATCGAACTATACGTGGAAAAAGCTGTTTTTGTATATTTTATTTGCTACACGAAATTAGTACGTGGATAATGATTTTTGCTCGTCTCTGATGGGCAGACGTGCGCTGAAGTTTGCGTTATCATTTTTCGGAGTAATCAGTTGGAGCAATACGGAACAGACTGGTGGCATATTACTCACAGAGTCCGCGAAGAAGCATGCAATTCACGAAGTATGTAATTATCCACAACGTCTGAGAGAATTAAGAAATGATGCGAGTAACCCCATTGGTTGATAGAGTAGTATATGAGTAAAAATAATATTTATGAGTTCTGTAACTTTATAGAGTCTGGAAGAGATGTGACCCGCCGGCCGGTCACACGCCAATGTGTTAATAGCAAACAACTGCAGTTGCTATGACTATGGAATATACAATAACGATCACATTAAGAACAAGTTGCCATATTATCGCAGATTACTCTATGGTTGCTATGGTAGGTAACTCTCGAAGCTTAGATAGCTATGTATCCATTGCAAACTGATAATTTCTACCTGTGTCGACAGCATAAGCTAAAGATGTTCACCTAGCGCATATATGAATCCGTAAAGGGTTAATAACGCTACGCCTAAGGCAGGATCTGCTAGATAAGCCTCACCAACGAGTCCTACTAGCAGTAATGTTGCTCTTTATACCGAATCTATTAGTCTTACCAACTGGTGAACCGATTAACTATGTTTTCTCTGTCCATTTACGATTCTATTATCTGTGAGGACTTAAAATGCATATAATTTCATTAGTTTTAATGCCACATCAATAGATCAAGCCTCATATTTTTTAAACCAGACCTATTATTAACTATTTTACTGAGAAGACATTTTAATAATCACCAGTTTAGTCACCTCAACTATTGCAAGTCCCGATTTTCTGCAATAACCGAGGTACCAGTGTACCAACAACGAGGGCGACACTTCGTGGTTTTTCAAAAGATTTTTCAATCGCGATCGAGGCGGGATCTTTGGAGCTCGAACGATTCCAGATCGACTCTAATCGATGTTTATCGAGCCACGCTAAGAGGCAATCGCTGCGCAATTCGATCGACGTAATTGCGCGATTAAGGTGTCCGTGTGGACAGTGACACTTTCTTCGACCCGGGGCGGGAAAAGTCCCGGGAATTCGAGACGACGTATTCAGGTTTAATGTCTGTGTTTAGGCTCGTGCCCTGACGGTCGAGTGGACGCGGACGCGGTGTCGAAACGCCGCAAAGAAACGTTGGAAAGCGTTCGTTGCGCGATCGGTTGCGCAACGTCGACACCTGAACGGGTTTTGATACCCGATTCCCTCGAAATTGATTCGTGAAAATCGCACGAGACCGCGTAAAGATCGCATCTCATCGAACAGTTTATCGACAAGCCTACCGGTTGGCTGATTACACCCCTGAACGATCGACGAGTAACGAACGGTTAATTGACTCCGAAGTAGGTACGCGGAAAAATTCCACGACGGCAAGAAGTTCTGCAATTTTGTTTTGTCAGGTCTTGTTTCTGTAATTGACAGGCGACGGGGAAACGGTTACTAATGGTAGAAAGTTTCCTTAAAATTGTGAGCACAGTGTTCAGATAGATGGCGACCCTCGGTAAAAAAGTTAACTTCGATAATTGATGGCTGTAAAGTTATAATTCGCGGAATCGCGGTCGACGTGTCTTCTTTTCCTAGACTCGACGCAGAAATTACGGTCCGAAGTAGCCGTTTGATTAGTTTTTTGCCCCCGTTGGGAGCTCGATGTTGTCGCGGACTGAAATGCTAGACTCTTAGCCGCTAGCAATGTAATTCCCCTGATCCGCGCGTCGTTTTCTGACTCGCGATTGATGGTAATCGCACGCGAAATGACCGCTAAAGCATCTCGACGCACAATTTTCATTTAACTGGCTGCTTCGTCGACTTTGTTACTTTTGAACCGCGTCGTCCCTCGAAAACTGCTCACGTCTGCGATTCGAGGCGTCGCGGGGCTTCTTAATTCCGCCAAGTTAATCCTCCGTAATCCCGCGAGACGTTTTTCAAGTCAGATTTAATCCTATTATCAATATCTCCCAGTTTCGCGTATAATATTAACACGGGCGAATACATCTGTAACTTCTAACGTATATCAATTGTGATTTTAAATATCATGTACGGAAGAACGTATTTTCGTATTTAATAATCGCGTTACTAAATTGAGTAGTTTTAAAATTTGAATAAGACATCGTACATATTGCTCGCGTGCTCTGCATATTTTTCATACGTACACGCATATATTTCGCGTAATACATGCATATAAATGTAGAGTATGTTCCTCGCATAATTTGCGTGCACGAACATCAGCAGCGTTGTCATTAATACGAAGACCTCGTATCATTAATTTTATAAGTACCTACGCGTAACTGTTTTATAATCACTCCTGCCTGAAATATTAACTCCAATGTTGTATTCGTGGGAAGATTGTTTCAGCAAAGTTCCTTGGAAAAGGGCGGAAGACATTTAGAACTGTTAAATATAACTACCTTTTTCAGAAAATTACACTGTTCCAAACATTAAATGCCTCAACTATTAATACTCCATAATTTCTATACAAATCCACGTATGTGTCTAACCCTCTATGACAAGAAAACGTTTAGTTGCTTTAAATGGTGAAGACCTTCGAAAATCAGAGATTATCTCGAAACGATATAGATAAAATATCGTTCCCTGCGTAACCCTCTCGACTCCAAGGCAAACAAGAGACGACCACAGCAAACAATTTGTTCGCCGGAGATTCTTTCGAGGAATCACGCCGACAGAAGACGCGTACGTCTAAATTCCGTTCCAACCCTTTAGAGCGACGTATTTTTCGCGCCGGGGGTAACTCGAGCGCCCCCTCCACAGCCCCCCTGGCGAATAACCAGCCCCCCATGGCGGAGTCGACGGAGCCCGATTTCTCGCCCTACCGAAGACGATATTGCGACCGGTATCGCGTTTCCAACACGTGTGTAGGTGTACGACACGTGGAACGGAAGTGGGGATATTCAACATGGCGACTCTGCACACATCGTACACACCGGTGCACCAATGCGCGAGCAGCGAGCACGCCCGTCCCGACGGTTCCCCTTTCCTTTCTTCTTTCTGTTCCTGTTCGCGGCTCCCTCGTTTTCTTCTTATCCACCTTCGCCGTATCGGCTTCCTCTCTTCCACTTTGTACCATCCGTTCCTAAATACCCTTCCTTTTTCACGCACATTGTACCCTTTGTTCACCCCAAAATCCTCCAGCTTCCCTTTCGCTAATCCGTTTCTCACTAATTTCTGTCCAACGTTTCACTATTTTTATTCGCTGCTTTCAACGTTGCTCATCTTTCCAATTCGTTTGCTAAACTAGAGGCACAACCACCATTTTGTATTCGGTAATGCCCCACTTATTGCTCAACTTGCTCCAATTAATTCGAAT